AGGCAGCAATAACTATATATGTAATTTTATATTATTGATATACAAAGAATAATATTATTTATATATAAAGAATGAAAATAAAATTTTAATATACATGTTGGTATAGAAAAAAGAAAAAACAGTTGTGATATACATATTATTATTGTGATATACATTTATTGACTATTTGATGCCAATATCTATAACTAGGGCTATTTTCTGCCAATTATATGGGTTTATTGTTATACATGCCAAAACCCCTAAATAAAAGAGTAAGGTTAAAGACTCAAAGGCCCAAATAAGTACACCCAACAATACGACTAGTGTTCGACCCATTAATCCAGTCCAGCTTTTTCAAAAACCCAAGCAAAATCCTAGCCACTCTCGCGCCGCTACTATATATTAACCTGCTAAAACCTAACGCAAGTTTTCTTTTCTGTATGCGAAAGCAGATCTCCAGCTCTTCTCGCCGTCGTCTTTTCCAGAGCTCCTAAAGCTCCATGTAAGTTTGCTAGTCTCTTTGATCTCCGAGTATATACAAAAAAGAGTTGTGACATTGTGTTATGTATTTTGCTTGGATATACTGTAGTTGTGATTTGTCAGCTATTTATCTTCCTAGTCTGTTGGTGTTAGGACTCAATAACGATTCATAATAATGATGGACATGTGAGTTTAGATTGTATCGAACGGTGTGAAGTATTAGAAATGACAGTTTGGGTTTTGAAGAAACTCGTGAATTAGAACTTGATAATTTGGGGACTATAGATCTCATAGCTTTTGTGGGCTTGGTTTGAGCTGGTAAGCTGGTACTGGAGTTTTGTTTTGTATAAACAGGTTGTGCTTTTTGTTTTATTTTTCTTGGATGATCATGATGTCTGCTTTTTTTGCTTCGAAACTTGTAGAAAATGAGTACTTATATGCCAATTCGCGAGCTCATATTTCTCTTTGTCTTTATATTCGTTTCTGTACTATAGTTTTGTTGTGAAATGCTATTCTTGGTATTCTGTTTTTGCTAAAGGTATTATTTGAACCTGATTATTGCATTAGTTTGGAACAGAATTGTCGTAGAAGATGGTGAGAGTTAGTGTGTTGAATGATGCTCTTAAGAGCATGTACAATGCTGAGAAGAGGGGAAAGCGTCAGGTCATGATTAGGCCTTCTTCCAAAGTCATCATCAAATTCCTCATTGTCATGCAAAAGCATGGTACTTTAGCTTGTCTAGCTTATATTTTCTATGCTGATTATTTCCTAACCTCGTTGTTTTCTTACATGTGCTATCTCTGTGTGTAGGGTACATTGGAGAATTTGAGTATGTTGATGATCACAGGTCAGGAAAAATTGTAGTTGAACTGAATGGTAGGTTGAACAAGTGTGGTGTCATTAGTCCTCGTTTTGATGTTGGAGTTAAGGAGATTGAAGGATGGACAGCTAGGTTGTTGCCTTCCAGACAGGTATATCTGCATCCTTGCTGTGCAGCTCATAAGATCATTTTGTGTGATGCTTTCCTTTCATTCATACAAATTATTATGCTAGAAGCTTATTCATTTATTCCTTTTTAAGAGTTATTGGAAAAATGTTTGTAATTAATCATAACTAGTGGAATTTTTTTGAATGGCCATAGGAAAGAATATGTTATGAAGCTTATTAGTAGCTCGGATGTAATCAGTCAAATTCACCTGTTAATTATTGTTATAATGAAGATAGAAATTGTAGATTTTGATGTTCCCACATAGATAGGGTGCAATGACTAATTGTTTTCTTTTGTCTCTTGCATTACACTAAGTTGATCTGGTACTGAAGTATTTTGTTTGAGCTTGCAGTTTGGATACATCGTACTGACTACATCTGCCGGTATCATGGACCACGAGGAGGCTAGAAGGAAGAATGTGGGTGGGAAGGTTCTTGGTTTCTTTTATTAAGCTCCTTATGTTGACTAGGATGAACACCCAGTTTTGCTGTAATTTGGCCTTCATTACAATCGAAATGGTTCTGAGTTTGTTTTGAGTTTTGTTTCCCTTCTATTGTTAGTAGGGATATTTTCTGCATTTCTTGGACAAGATTATCAGTACTATTAACTTACATCCAATATAGGTTGCTGTTTGTCTATTTGTGATCTATTTCATAAGCTTTCTTTGTTTTAGTGTCAGTTGGATCCGAGGTTCTTGGCTTCGCAAAGAGCCTACTTATTTTGCTGTGGAAACTGTATTTGAATAAGTTAGTTTGTGTTTCTGTTAGTTGACATTTTGAGCTGGATAGGAAAATCCTGCGCTTGCCATTTTCATCACTGAGTAAATGGTTAGTATTCTTTTGTTGTGTCAATTATTGTTAGAAGCCTTAAAGCGCTCTTCAGCCGTCAAGGTTGGTGGAGCCATCTGTCTGCTATATTCTCAGTTGGCCCTTTAGTGTAGGCGTTAAGGTGCTAAGCTGTGCACATCTTCACCCATGGGTTCAGTTTCTAAGAGCACAACACAGTATATTGACAAAATGACATTAAAAAGTGATATTTGTTGTTAAGAAAATGTCATGACTGAACTTTCAGTGAGGAAGAGTAGAAAAGGTATGACTAATGAGCAAGAGTAAGAAAGTTGAAATTTAGAATGAGTTAGCTCGCTACTGAAAACCCAAAATTGCGTATGTTTCAACCAAATTACAAATTTAAAATTGCTTTTGAACTTGATTTACATGATTTTATTTGCGTCCATGTAGTTTAATTATAGTTCTTTCATTCGTTTGTCCCAATAGTTATTGTTTGTTTAAAGATATTTTCTTGCATTATATTTTTTTGTTTAATTATTTGTGGATTAGCTTTTTTCTTTTGACTACTCGATTACAACCTTTGGGAATTATTTGTCTTGAGCCTCTCCATAAGATTCTGAGTATATCACAATGACATACCACAGTGGAGCAACTACTGCTTCCAGAAATAACACGTAAGGTACACTGTTCTTACTTGATCAGAAGTGCCAATTACAAAAATAATACCAAACATTGTAAAAGGATATCTATCTCTAGTACTCTGTCACATATAAAGCAAATATATGTTTAACTAGATTTGTTGAATAAATTTTCCTCTCTTTTCTGCCGTATGATCAGGCCAAATGCTTCACACTTCATTACGATGTCTGATAAATTTAGTGAGGTTCTAGATTGTCCCTCTATATTATGTCCAATGCTGTTTCAATATCTAAAATAGTAAGGAAAGGACTGAATTGGAAGGGATCGACTCGGTTACAAATAACGGAAACTGAATCTTGCTTGCTTACTAAGTACTTGTATTTCTTGTTATTGTGGCCTCAGCAGATGGACAAGAGGGGTTGCTCTAATGGTAAGCAACCTCCACTTCCAACTAAAAGGTTGTGAGTTCGAGTCTCTCCAAGAGCAAGGTGGGAAGTTCTTGGAGGGAAGGATGCCGGGGGTCTATTTGAAAACAACCTCTCTACCCCTAGGGTAGGGGTAAGGTCTGCGTACACTCTACCCTCCCCAGACCCCACTAAGTGGGATTATATACTGGGTTGTTGTTGTTGTTGTTGTGGCCTCAGCAGATGAGAGAGATATAGTAGGCTGGTTCTTGCTTTTCCAAGAGATGGGACAACCCCCCAAGGTAATGTAATACTCCCTCCGGTCCAAAATAAGTGATTTTTTTGGATGTTTTCACACAAATTAAGAAATCCACCTTTTAGCATTAGTTAGCAATGAATTGACCATATTAACCTTTACTATCTCACATAAACACTCCTAACACTTATTCCAACACCATTTACTTCAAGGACAATGTAGGAAAAAATAATTAATTCATTCTTGAAATCTGGAAAAATCACTTATTTTGGACCACAAGAAAAAAGCCAAAAAATCACTTATTTTGGATCGGAGGGAGTAACAAATAATAAACCTATATGCATAATTCTAAATTATGATGTATTTAGTGGTAAAAACCTTAAATGTTGAACCGATCTAAGTATGAATATTGAATTTTGCCTCTATCAAGAACTGTATTTTGATTGGCACTAAATCTTCAAATAAAATAAATTCGAAATTTGTGCAGAAAATGTGTATACTTTACAAAGAATCTGGTTTAAACACTAATGAATATATTTGCCTTTTCCCCTATATTTAAACTTCAATAAGTTGTAGTAAGTTTAGGCAGGTACTGAGGATAGAAGGGCCCTGATCAACTTGCACCAAATAGTAAGTCATAGTACTATAAATTGTTTGATGGATTAGTATAGGGGCCCCTCTTTCTTCTTGTTTATCCTCTTACCTTTTTCTTATTTTGATGAGCTGTGAGTAAGTGCTTTTCTTTACTCCTTGTCCTACTTTGATCTGTACAACATTTCAGATGTTAGATGCAAAAAAACAAAAGCTGAAAAAGTAATAAAGTTTCAGCTATTACATTTCTTTTCTTCTTTTAGCATGAAATTGAAAAGATATTCCCTCCGTGAAATAGTTTGATTTAATACAAAATTTAAGGAAAAAAAAAGATCTTTGAAATATGCGGTCCTAAAAGTATAAGAGGTAAAAGTTATATGGGTCCATGATATTTTTGTGGCTATAAAAGCTTCTCATTAAGAGTAAAGTGGATAAAATAAAAAGTTTAAAGTTAAATTATTTCCAAATATAGATATGTGTCATTCTTTTTGGAACAGACTAACAAGGAAAGTGTGTCATTTAAATTGAAACAGAGAGAGTACTATTTTCTATGTTCCAAATTTTGTGACACGCTTTCCCTTTTGTTTGTTTCAAAAAGAATATCATTTTTTTAATGAAATAGTTAGCTTTAAAATTCTAATTTTCTCTTTAGTGAGAAGATTTATAAGTCACAAAAATGTTTATGGGCTTATTTAGTACCGCAAGGTTCAAAAGTATTTNACCATATTAACCTTTACTATCTCACATAAACACTCCTAACACTTATTCCAACACCATTTACTTCAAGGACAATGTAGGAAAAAAATAATTAATTCATTCTTGAAATCTGAAAAAATCACTTATTTTTGACCACAAGAAAAAAGCCAAAAAATCACTTATTTTGGACCGGAGGGAGTACCCAGTAACAGACCTTCGAGTCTGGCCCAGTCAGAATCAGAGTAAGCTAGAAGAGAAAGATCATTAGACTTAGGAAGGAAAATACCTAAATCAGGAGCGTTCACCAGATACCTAAAAAAATGTATAACAGCCAGCATGTGAGGAACTTGAAATTGACTAAGGTATTGGACTGAGTATGCAATATCAGGCCTTGTATGGCATAAGAAATTGAGCTTGCCCACAATTCTTCTGTAGATGCTAGGATCAGAGAGAGGCTCCCCAATATCAGAAGATAGTTTGATAGAATGGTCAAGAGGAGTGCTGACAGGAGTGAAATGATCACATTGAAACTCCTCCAATAGATCAGATGTAAATTTGTGCTGACACATCAAGAGACCTTGGGGCTGTTGGATAACTTCCAAACCCAAGGAATAGTGAACACAACCTAAGTCTTTGATTTTGAATGTATCACTAAGAAAAGCCTTAAGACCATGCAATTCATAAATATCATCTCCTGCCAACAATATGTCATCTACAGATACTGCCAAGATAATGAGTGAACCACCAGAGGACTTTGTGAAGAGTGAACAATCATTTTTGCTAGAAATATAACCACTGGAACACAAGGCTTCGGACAATTTAGAGAACCACTGTCTTGAGGCCTGTTTGAGGCCATAAAGGGACTTCTTGAGTTTCAAACTAGTGGAGAAGAGGAGGAAGAATAACCATAAACCACTAAACTAGGAGGCAGTCTCATGCAAACTTCTTCATGGAGATCACCATAAAGAAAGGCATTGTTGACATCTAGTTGATAAACAGTCCACCCCTTTTTAACAGCAAGAGAAAGAAGGCACTTGATAGTGATGAATTTAACAATTGGGGAGAAGGTCCCATTATAATCTATCCCCTCTTTTTGTGTGTCACCCCTTATGACTATCTGGCTTTGTATCGTTCAACAATGCCATGAGATTTCTCTTTAATCTCTTTTTTTGATTTGCACCGGGTGTCTCGAGTCTCTAAGAGCCCGACTAATCCCGGGGGTGCACAGACCCTCGGCAAGGAGTTTCCCGCAAGTGCACCACGGTTAATTCAGGTTTTACCCAGTCCAATCGCCCTCAGAAATTGTTTGCACTGGATTTCGAACTTGAGACCTTGAAAGGGAGCAAACCCCAAGGCTCAAGTCTATTGCCACTAGGCCAACCCCTGAGGGTTTAGATTTCTCTTTAATCTTGTACACCCACTTATAAGGAATGGGTTTCTTGTGAGGAGGGAGATGAACAATATCCCAAGTGTGGTTAGCTTCAAGAGCTTGGAACTCTTTTAGCATGGCGTCTTGCCAAGCAGGATGTGAGGTAGCATGTTGATAATATTGTGGTTCCTGCAGTTGTAGCTCAGTAGTGGAAACCTTTGAATTATCGAGACAGGGTTGGCAGGAAGGATAGAAGAACAGACATAATCTGACCGGTAGGAAGGAGGATTGGAGACCCTGGTAGAATGCCTACAAGGCAGGTGTTAGGAGGTGGAACAGGACCAGTGAGAGTAAGAGAGGCAGAGGAAGAAACATGCATAGCAGGTGGTTCTTGATGGTGGGAGGAAGAAGGAGAAGAATCAGAATGAGATTCAGAGGAAAATGCACGAGGTATAGCAAAAGGAGCAACATGAGGAGTTGGTGAAGGAGCAGTGGAGGAGTGAAATGAAGAAGGATCTTCAAAGGAAGCAGAAGGAGGAAAAACAGAAGAAGATGAAGTAGAGGAATATGGAAAGATGTGCTCATAGAAAACTACATCTATGGAAAAAAATACAGATTGATTAGAGAGATTAAACAATTTATAGCCCTTTTTTCCAAAGGGATAACCTAGGAAGACACAGTCAACAACCCTGGATTGGAATTTGTCTCTTCCAAATTTTAGGGGTAGTTACAGAACAAAGACAACCAGATGATTTTAGGTGGTCATAGCAGGAGGAGTCCCATGCAGTTTTTCAACATGAGTAGTATTACCCAAAACAGATGAAGGTAATCTATTGATAATGTAAGTTGCATTTAATACACATTCACCCCCATATTTAGTAGGAAGTTTGGATTGAAACCAAAGGGCTCTGGAGGTTTCCAAAAGATGGTTGTGTTTCCTTTCAACTACACCATTTTGTTGTGGGGTGTGCTGTATAGTGGTTTGGTGTAAAATACCTTTGTCAGCAAAGAAGGATATAGCCTCTGAACTACTGCCTAATTCAAAGGCATTGTCTGATCTAAAAGATTGGACAGAAGATTTGAAATGAACTTTGACCATCATAGTAAAAGCTTTGATTATAGAAAGGGCATTGCCTTTGGAAGATAATAAGTGAGTCCAGGTAACTCTACTAAAATCATCTACCAGAGTGATGAAGTATCTGAAGCCATCATATGTATTAGTATGGTAGGGTTCCTATATACCTATATGCACTAACTGGAAAGATACAGTTGAATGAATATGACTATCCGAGAAAGGTAGTCTTTGTTGCCTAGCCATAGGACAAATAGAACATACAAATGATTGTTTAGAAGACACTTGAGTAGATAAACATGGAATAGATTTCATCTTGTAAAATTGCATATGGCTAACCTTTGATGCCAAAATAGATCTATTTTATTGATACTACCAGATGAATTACAAGTGGAACTAGGGAAATAGGGGATAACAGTTTCTCTAAATGAATTACAAACAGTAGGACAAGAAACATTCGAAGAAAATGAAAGAGTAACCATATCAGGTAGTAGAAAGTAGAGCCCATGAGCAGCTTTACCTGAGCGCTTCAGAGAAGGGCCCTGTAGAAAATAGGAGAAATTGGAAAGATTGCTAGACCTTTCAGTTGACAAAGGAGTTGATATACTGAAATTAAATTGAACTGAAAAGAAGGAACTAAAAGAACATTGTGTAAAGTTATATCTTGCCTAAGATGCAGAGATCCAGTAGAAATAACATTCACTTTATATCTATTTGGTAAGGTGATTAAGTAAGGAGAAGGTAAAGTATAATATTGTGTAAAAACTATTTGTGTGAGGTCATGTGATTGGTGGCACCTGAATCTAAAATCCAAAAAATTCTTCCTAACTGAGCAGACAAAGAATGCATAGCAGAATTTACTGCAGGAAATTGACATAATGAAGATTGCACACCTGCAAAGTTGGCAAAACCAATGTTTTCTCCAGGAGAAGTGGACTGAGGATAACCGGAAGAAAAATTTGCTTGTTGGAAGAGAGTCATGAGATGTTCATATTGCTCCTTGCTAAATCCATAAGCAGAGTCTGAAGAATTGTTGCTAGTGCCTGTAGCAATCAAGTTTGTTCGAGAAGAATCCCCCACTTGAACACATGCATCAGACCTCTTGGACTTAGTGAACTTGAAATCAGCTGGAAACCCATGGATTCTGTAGCATTTGTCTACACTATGCCCAAGCTTCTTGTAATATTTGCAAGTTACAGGAGAAGTAGACCTCTTAGACTCAAAATTTACCCTCTGATTGTATGGCCTATTGATGGAAAAAAGAGATGTCAGATGAAGCAGAGAATGAGGCTGCTGAATCAGCTGAAAACCCAGGAGCTATAGACTTAACTTCTTTTTGACTTTCATCTTGTTGTAGAAGTGAATAACCTTTGCTGATGGTTGGATAAGGGGACATCATTAAAATTCTACTTTTGACTGTGGAATAGGACTCATTTAACCCACTAAAGAAACAAGAATAAGTGTTGGTCCTCAATGAATTTAGGAAGTGCACCACATGAACATGTTGGGCCAACATAGGCAGAATTAAGATCATCCCAGAGACTCCTTATTCTGGTAAAGTAGCTAGCTATATCAGGTGTCCCCTAAGAAGTACTACTTAATTTCCTCTGAATTTGAATATACTTAGAACCATTTGACTAATCATACATATCATTTATGTCTTTCCAGACTTTCTTAGCAGTGTTGAAACACATAACATTCACAGCAATTTCTCTAGTCAAGGAGTTGCTAATCCAAGTCTTGATCATGTTATTGCAATGCTCCCAAAAGAGATAATATGGAGAATCAAGTTGAGGTTGCGATATCCTACCAGTTATCAACCCTAATTTATTTTTAGCGGAGAGAGAAGTCAACATACTGCTACGCCACATAACAAAGCCAGTTCTACTAAAAGGAATGGTGACTAATTGACCACCAGGACTGTTGGATGGGTAAACATAGAATGGGTGACACGGATCAAGAGTAAATTCACTAAATCCTTTAGAGTCAGTCATGGTACCGTGAAGTTCCTCAGTTAAATTCGCTTTAGTACTCATTGTGGACAACAAATTCATCAGCAACACAATACAACGATAGAAGTAGTAGGATTGTGAAGATACAATAGATGTAACCCAAACTAATATTGGTTCCAGTATTAAAACAAACCCTAGAAATCAACCCAAACCGAACGTGCAATGAGGAAAGTGAGAAGATTTACCAATCGTCTTTAAAATCGAGAGGATAAAGAGTATCGAAGCTCAGATTTGAAGTTCTGAAAGCAAAAACCTAATTTTCCACTGCCGAAGAATCAGCCCACCAAGAAAATCTCCAAAATTCCGTCCAAGGGTAGGATCAGATGATAACCGAGGTCGAGATCGTTCCAATGATCCTGCTCTGATACCATGTTAAGCTGATTATTTGCAGAAATGGAGAAAAATGAAGAAGAAGAAAAGCCTAGATCGGGTAAGATGAGAGAGAAAAGGAAGAATGTTTTTATTTCATTATGGGTAAGAATGATCCGTACAAAATGATGATCTCCTATGCTATCTTAAAAAGGCCTAATATACTAATACAAAAATACAATTATAAGTGAAATGGGCCGGCTGTACATATTGGGCCTAGTACTACTTATCAACCAGTGGGCCTCTTCTTGTATACTCCATTCATCTCAAACAAACTCAAAAATATTTGTAACATTTTGTCCAAACCGGGAATACAAGTTATCACTGATTTTGCTTTCTCTACTGAAAACTGGAATAGTTCCCAGGTACATACACATCCTACATTGCAACTCCAAGTTTAACCTCATTCCTACTTTGTTGGCTTACCTTTGAACTTGGAAATGTACCTACGTATTTTTCTTTCATGGTTATGATATTAATTATTTGTGTTGAATTATATTTTTTCTTATGATGATGGCAAGCATGTTCTGATGAAATATGAATCTTCTTTTTGATTCTATTAAGTTGCCAATCGATATTAGTAGTAACGGAAGCCTCACACATTCGTGTACAAACCAGTACAAATCAAGTAACACGAATATCTTAGTCTATTTCTATCAGCCGACTGGTGGGAGCGAGACGTTTGGAATATGTTTGGTGTTTCTTCCATTAATCATCCGGGTCTACGCCATATATAACAGATTATGATTTCGAGGATCATCCATTACGAAAAGACCTTCCTTTGAGTTGATATGTGAAAGTACGCTATAATGATCCAGAGAAACGTGTGATTTCTGATACTATTGAGATGACCCAAGAATTTCGCTATTTCGACAAACGCACCATACCTTTATAACTTGCACAAGTATGTTAAATCGTGAAGAGAAAATATAGTACATTCTTTAGCATCAACTCAGGCATGACTTGTTGTCATTTGAAATTTAATGGTATCGGGGTTTTCATCCATCATGAATTTGCGAATTGTATTTTACATGATTTTGATAAAAATTATGGTTTTGTTGTACAACCATAACAGTGAGCAGGAGGAGATTGATTTCTTGATGCAACTGTTCGAAGAGTTCTTTGAAGAATTTATGAGGTACTTTGTTTAGTTAAACATAGTATAGTATATAGTATCTAGATCAAGTTTCGTGGCTTACCTCCTTTTCTTTTCAGAGTTGATGGCTCATATGGGTAATTGGCCATTAAATCATATAGTAACTTTTTTTGTCTTTCAAAAATCAATCAATTGGGTAATTAGCCATCAAAGTCATATAACTTTCTTTTATCTTTCAAAAATCACTGAACTTTACCTAGTTGACTTAAATGATCATCCTTGTCAGATTTTTTGTACTTTCCAGTGAGATTTAGTGACATTGCAAAAATTAATTTTAAGAAAAAATTATTAAAAGACTAATTTAAAACCTGAACCACTTAAAAACCCAAGCCACCTGTTTACTCAACACCTAACCCATCCCATATATATGGGTCGACTTTAATAGCTTCTCTTCTCTATGCAATTATAGTTAATTTGAATATTTTTGTACTTTCTCAAAAATAATTTATGTTATTGAATTATTTAGTTCCCATCTCAAAAGTTATGTTATATCAAATTTAGAAGCTAAAATGGACTACTTATGAAAAAAATTGAACATAGCTACTGGAAGAGCAAGGCAAACTTCTGAAAGTCAACATTCAAAAGATGATTTAGAAGACACAAAAAAATAAAAAAAAATAAATTAGTTTAATTATTCTATTATAACTTAGGTTATGCTCTCAACTACGTAGAATCATAGTTCTTTAATTGTTTATGGTTTATATGTGATTTAATTTCTTTTTTAAATTTGTTGTCATTAGGCTCTAAGTCAAGTGCAAAGGAACCGAAAAATTCAATAATATAAATTATTATCGTATAAGTTATTATAAAAATTCAATGATATAAGGTTTGGTTAGCTTTAACAACACTTCTTGTAAAATCTAGGAGTCGTAAAAGAAATTCTCAAATATTTTTCAAAGGATTTGCAAATTTCTTTTCAAATGTTGAAAGAATTGATTGTTGTAAATTTGATGTAACATAATTTTTGATACGAGAACTGAAAAAATTCAATGATATAAATTATTGTCCAAAAGTACAAAAATTTTCGTTAACTACAATTGTATAAAGAGTAGAGAAGATGCTAAAGTCAACCCATATATGTGGGACGAGTCAGGTATTGGGTGGATTGGATTTTAAAATAGCTCAAGTTTTAAATTGGTGTTTTAATAAATTTTCTTAAAATTAGTTTTTGTCATGTCACTAAATCTCAAGTACAAACCCGGCAAGAAAGACCATTTAAATGAAGCAGGTATAGTTGAGTAATTTTTAAAAGACAAGAAAAGAATATGACTATTATGACTAATTATCCAAAGTTGAGAGATTTTTAAAAGACAAAAAAATTTATATGACTTTGATGGTCAATCACCCAAAGATGAGCGACCAGCCGAGTCATCAACTCTTTCTCTTCAGGTATAAATTCTTCGCAATTTTAAAGTCTTCCAAGAAGGAAGCTTTCAACTATTATTGTTTATATTTTTTTAATGGTTACTTATATAATCAGTGATTTACCTAAGCGATATAAATAAAAAAGAACTCTGAGTTGTGAGAAACCTATGAAGACTCATGAGGAAAGTAATGATAATTCATGGACTAAATTCTCTTGAAAGAAGTTGTTCTATAAATCAAATAAATCATGATCAATAAATCAAAAACGACGTGTTGCGGGAAAAGCTTATTAACCTCAACAAATTAAACACCAAAGTATGTGGTGCAGCGGATGGGGCTACTCTTTCCTTAACCAGAGGTCTCGAGTTCGAGCCCTGGGTATGGAAAAATCCTTGGTAGGGAGCGCTTCCCCCCTAATGAGGCCCTACGCGGCACGGATCCGAATATAGTCGGGCTCCAATACGGATACCTTTCCACCAGGTGGGAAACAAAAAAAAAAAAAACTCAACAAATTAAATTAGATGGACAACAAAGAACTACTTTTAAGTATAACTCTTACGGTAATCCAACACGAAAAGATATGTCCTAACCACGGGACAAAGAGGACCAAAAAATCATTTTTCATGTACCTCGGCTCCGAGAATAAAAGTGATTTCTTTTGAACTTATATACAATTTAACATTTCGTTTGTGTGTATGTTGGCAATTTTTTATGTGAATTTGAGCGGGAGGCGAGGGGGGGGGGGGGTTCCCACCAACCGATTGGCGCACCAACAACGCACGCACCTTCTCTTCTACCAATCATATAGCCCCTCAGTCTCTATTTATGTGAAGATATTTGACCGAACACGAAATTTAAAAAAAAAGAAAGAAAGTTTTTTTTTAAAAACTTATGGTCTAAAACATGCCATAGACATTTCTATGGTTATAAATCGTCTCGTTAATAATAAGATGAGAACTTTAAAGTCAAATTGTTTTTAAATATACAAATATATCATTCGTTCGGGATAGATTAAAGTATCACATATATTGAGACATAGAGAGTGCTATTTTCAATTTTCTAATTACTGTAAATCAACAGGGTTGAGGTACAAGTGAGATAGATCCAAACTTCCCATCAGTCTACAGAAATGCGTAGAGCTAATAGAGGAGACCACAAAATCCAACGCAACACTTCATCTTATCATAGCACTAAACAATGGAGGACATTATGATATGTTAGAAGCAACCAAGAGCATTGCTAGTAAAGTAAAGGATGGTCTTCTACGGTTAGAGGATATCGACTATAAATTATTCGAGCAAGAACTTTCTACCAAATGTCCAAGTTTGCTAAACCTGATTTACTCATAAGAACGGGCGAAGAACAGAGAATCAGTAACTTCTTATTGTGGCAACTGTCTTACTCTTAATTATACTTCAAAAAAAAAAAAAATATTATTTCCTCACTTTGGAGAAGAACTAAAGAAAGCCATTCGTTCCTTTCAACAACACAGTCGTTTTGGTGGACACACATATTGAAAATCCTAATGTCTCTTTCCTTTTGTTAATTTGATGTGTGTAATCTCTGTAGATAATGGGCTGTATAATAAATTTACTATGTAGATAAACAACTGCTGAAGCAACCTCAAACACATGAGGTTACTATGTTCTCTGGTGGCAGCAAATGGAATTTGTAACAACCCGACCGGTCGTTTTGAGTATTATAGCCATGTTCTACAATTTATTACTTATTATGTGCTCCTTTGTTGTTACCTGACTTGCCAGGGTGGTTGGTTTTGTTCCAGGGATGTTTCGGAATGAGTTGGGACACTTGTCGATGCCCCCTTTTCTTCTTAAAGGCGAAATCGGGTTTACGATATTTGGGAGGACAACTCTTTTCCCTTTTGGGATTTGGGTTTTGTTTTGGAATTTGAAGAGTCACCACCTAATGATTAAGTGCATTAGGACACAAAAAAAGGGTTTTTGAGTTTGAAAACCAGAGTTTGGGTAAGGGCTAGAAATTATCTCGAGGGGAAGGTGTTAGGCACCCCCCAAGATCCACTAGTGTGGTTCCCGGCCATGTTACAATTGTAACTTCACTTAACAAGTAAGCAAATAAGGGTTCAAATAGAGGGAGTTTTCACATAATATTGCAA